TCACTCTATTGCCCTCATGTTTCATGTAAATAACCAGGATTTAATAGTAATTCAAGCGTAGCAGAAAGAACAAAGCTATGGCCCAATACGTTAAAATATTATGATTCATGTCATGTTTTCTTATATTACCAAAACATTTTTCTGCATGCACCACCAAGTTGGATAATCCTTGCTGAAAGTTTACAGTCTTACTGTTTGTAAAACATGAAGCCCCTCAGTCAGAAACCAGTTTTTTCATTCTTACAGTGTGCTGTATAGAATGCTGTCTGTGCAGAGTTTGACTCTAGAAGATTTTTCACATTCATTAGCTGAAGTGGAAAGTTTCTCTGTCATTGAAAATCTGATTTGTGACGTCACAGATATTTGGTCAGTCAGTCCTGGCCAGTATGCAACTTGTATAGTGTGATGTAGAAACTTGAAGCCACCAGTGTCACATCACTGAGAATATGGACTTTACAGTGAAGTAGGAGACATCTTGTGTCAGCAGCAAAACTAGAAATGAACAAACATTTGCATATTAGAGATTCTGGAAGTTTAAATAAGCTAAAAGAGAGATGATTTTTTTTAAAGGTTTTAATTTGAATATTATTTTTTAAAAAAAAAAAAACATATCAGACACCATTATTGTTCTTCAAACAATTTACACTACTCTGTCATAATTCTCTATTACCATGTTCGGCGTCTTTAAATGACGATGAACTTTAAACACTTGTACTTTGGTCTCTGTAAATGTTAAAAGGGAGTTCGGTTAGACCTGCTCTATTTGAAAAGTGTCTTGAGATAACTTCTGATTATGAATTTTGGCGCTAATAAAATTGAATTGAATTAAAAACACCCAAACAATAGTGGAATGATGATATAGCCTGAAGAGAGAAACAGGAGTCACATGTTCTGTTGCCTTCTGTTCAGTAACTAATGACCTATCAGACACTGCAGAGTTATCTTATTTCTCCCGCATTCTGTGTTGTTACAAGCATCAGACATTTTATCTCTCCTCTATCTTGCCTAGCAGAATGCACTGTAAGCTAAAGGCTTACAGCATGCTGAATGTCTGTGTGACTGCTGGTTCTGTAGACTGCCTGACCTGCCAGGAATCATGTTGTAGCTGCATAAATAAGAATCACAATTCTTGATTTTAGCTGCTGTACTGCAAAGGTCTGCTACAACCTGTTTTCTCTGTTGCATTGTTAGACATCATGGTGCTTTCTTCAGCATGGTCTAGGCCAGTGGTTCTCAACCTTTCTGGTGTCAAGGACCCCCTAGAAACCCCCTTAAGGACCCCTGGGGTTGAGAGCTGCTGATGTAGGCATTTTTGTAGAAGATATTTGAGGAATAAAAATCCCTCTGAAGACTTTTGTTCCAAAATGTAATTATGCCATAAAATATGAAAAAATAAAAATAAAAATGACAAAAGTCACAGTAAGGTTGATTTCCATTTTGAGACACTGAATGGTGACTTTCTTAGAATATAAGTGATGTGAATGATGTTTCTAAAGTGTCAGACAAGGCTGAATAACAGCCACACTACACTGCTGTATTGAATCTTGTACATAGGAGCTCTGTTTCATTTGTGCACAACTGATGAATGCTATGCAATGATAGCCGACACACAAGTGGAGCTTTTCTTCACTGAATTTTATTGGTTTGATGCTATTACAATAAAATATATTTAAAGAAAACAAAAATGTTTTGGTCACTTTCCGTTTTGGGAGAAAAAACACTTCAATTTCAAGACGGGACGGACTGTCAACTCACAGGAAAATAAAAAGTGAACCCAAAAAAAGAGCAAAAACAAAGGCAATATCAAGAGAATCAATTCCACAACGGCAGCGATTTGATCTCAACATAAAGCGGAGAACTGTTTCGGTGTTGAAATGTATCTTCATCTTGCAGTAGATATTCACTTCACAACATAAATATACTGTACAGAGTGATAACACACAGCTCTCAACGGGAAAACCATGGTGTGTGTGTGTGT